AAGTCGTTAACATGCTCTCGAACGGAAACTCCCCTCTTCATCTTGAATTGGTAGAACCTCTTCTTCAAGTGAAGCCGATTCTCAATGCTCTTTGTCAAATATTTTTCATTGAGCGTTTCCCACAATCTCTTTGCCGAAGTCTCGTTCATCACATCATAAATGAGATCCGGTGTTAGGAATGACCGAATAACCCCACAAGCCCTACTGTGCATTTTCTTCCAAACCCTATCATCAATCTCCTCGGGTTTCTCTTGAAACTCAAGGGTCTCCTCCAAGTTTTGTGCATCTAAGGCGTCCATTACTTGACACCTCCATAAACCGAAGTTGATCTTGCCGTCGAACTTTGGGACATCAATTTTAGTGTTATTGATGCTCAAATTTTGGATCGCCTTTGTCAAAGCCGACCCCGATGGACTAGTAGCACTTGAGCTAGCCCTGCTTGTATCACTCATATTGTAGATCTACTCTTCAACTAAGAATCCAACAGTGAATCCTTTGAACAAAACTCCCAAATCCAACCCGGAGCTCTGATACCACTTGTTGTGCGCCGCGAAAGTCCCAAATAGCCAAAACAATAGCACACACAAGAACAAAATAGATCACAATAGACACAAGCCAACCAATCACAGCAAGAACACAAGATATACGTGGTTCGGCAATGTGCCTACGTCCACGGGGCAAGGAGGGGGGAGTTTCACTAATCAAATCAAAGGGGAATACAAATTAGGGTTACAAATCTTACCCAAAACCCTCAAACAAGATCACTTGATCTCTCCAATAGACTCCAACAAAAGAAGCCCTAGAAAATCCCCTTTGGCAGCTCAAAATCTCCCTTGCATAAAACCCTAGAACAGATTTGGGGTTTATATACAAGTTACAAAGAAAACGGGTCTGGAAAACCAACTTAAACCCAAAACCCGATAGTCGGTCGACCGCAGCACCACTGCCGGTCGACCGCAAAATATCCCGAGGTCCAGTCTGCTCTCTGGACAATTCGCGGTCGACCGCAGCGCTTCGTCCGGTCGACCGCCCAAATTCCAGAGGCACACTAAGAGTTGTGTGCACATATCGGTCGACCGCAGCTCCACTGCCGGTCGACCGCCCAACTTCCAGAGGCATACCTCTGACTTTTCACCAACTCTACAGATCAGTGAAAATTTCTGTATACATATGGATGAAATCAGACCCTACCCAATAGAACTTTTTCATCACTTCTTGAGTATATGATTTGCATTTATTTTTAAATTCATGACTAACAAATTCATATGATGCATTAATACTACAGAATTGTCCAGTGGAGAATGGTCAAATTAGTGAAGATGTTATTCCATTTGAAGGGAAGGAGTTTCCAACGGACAACAATGCATACAACTGGTCAAATTAGTGAAGATGTTATTCCATTTGAAGGGAAGGAGTTTCCAACGGACAACAATGCATACAACTACTACAATGCATATGCAAATTCCATTTGAAGGGAAGGAGTTTCCAACGGACAACAATGCATACAACTACTACAATGCATATGCAAAAATAGTTGATTTGGAATTCGCGAAGATACTTTTGAAAAATCAAAGAAAGCTTCAGGAGAAATTCTTTAGAGGACTTTTGTTTGCGATAAAGTGGGGAGGAAGAGAGCATCGACTGAAAATGCAAGTGGATTGATTATCAAACGTCATCTGGAAACTAAAGTTGGTTGTGGTGCAAAAATGAAGATTAGGCTCACTTCTTCAATAATGTGGACGGTTACTAAGATCATTTCTGAGCATGTTCATCCTTTAACAAGCCCCAATAAAGTAATGCTTCATCAATCTCACAAGCAGCAACATCGATCGAAGCCTTTCATTAACCTCGTTGAGTTGTTGCATGAAGAGGTAATGAAACCATCTAATATTAAAAAGGTGCTTAATATTGGATATTAGGGACAAGATTGTGAACAAGCCACCATACAATAGATGATTAAGTACTATATCAGAAAGACAATGCAAAGTAACATTGGTTGTGAATAGTTAAACATCATTAGACATTTTTAAGATGGAAAGGAATTGGATCCGGATTTCTATTTTGCTATGGAGGTTGATCACTTTGGTACACTGAGAAGTGTGTTTTGGGCCGATGGTAGAGCTAGAGCTTCTTATTTAAGTCTTGAAGATGTATTGATGTTTGATACTACGTACAATGCTAATCAGTTGTGTATGCAATTTGCTCCATTTATAGGAGTAAACCACCACCGCCAATCCACCCTCTTCGGTTGTGCATTACTTGCAGATGAGCGAGAGGAAACTTTTGAGTGGTTATTTTCTCAATGGCTCAAGTGCAAGCATGGGGTTGCACTAAAGGCTATCATAACTGATCTGGATGCATATATGAGAAAATATATTAAGAGCATTTTGTCAAATACTCATCATCGATTTTGTTCTTGGCATGTTAGAAAGCATATTGCTGAGCAACAAGTAAAGTTAAAGAGCCAATATGGGGACGAGATGCCTACATATTTCAACAATTGGTATTACTCTAGAAGCATAAGCAAATAGGAGGAGCTTTAGGAAGTCATGAAGGTTAAATTCAACATAAATGAAGATGAAGATAGTTGGCTAACAAGAATGTATAGCTTGCATGAACATTGGGTGGATGTATACTTGAAGGATTGTTTTGGGCGGGAATGATGACAAGCCAAAGGAGTGAGAGCATCAATGCCTTTTTTGATTGCTTTGTTAATGCAAACACTAGACTAGTTGAGTTCGTGGGCCAATATGACAAAGCAGTGGCATCTCGTCGTGCATCAAAATCTCATGAAGACTTCATGACTTTGAACACCGTCCCTACGATGAGCTTCTCAAATCCAATTGAAGAGAAAGTTGGAAATACATAAACTAGGTTGATTGTGAAGATGTTTTAAAAGGAGCTTGGTGATGTGATGTCATTACATCATGAAGAAGTGTCGAAGGAGGAGTTGAACATTGTATATTTGGTAGACAAATATTTTGAAAATAACGAGAATTGGGAAGAAGTAACTTATGAAACAAATGGCGAGCTTAACGTTGCATGCAGTTGTTCATTTTGGGAAACCGAAGGGGTGCTTTGTAAGTATATTCTAAATATATTATGGCTTAACCAAGTGACTTCTATTCCCAATAAGTATATCTTGCCTAGACGGAAAATTGATGCAAGATATAGTTATTTTAGCTTTGTTACTGCTATGAAGTTGCAACAAAATGTAGATAACATGGAGCGGGGAAGTACTATAAGATTATGGGCTTTACGAGGAAATTTTAATGAAGCACTAAATATGGCGGCCAGCTCGAAAGATCTTCTTTTTAAGTTGGAGCAATAATTAGCAAACTTCCTTATGGAAGCAAGGCGCAAGATGACACGAACTCTAGATTCTCAAGTTGAGAGCCAAGTAGATTCAAATACTCATATGATTGTATTAAAAGATGGTGAGGAAATTATGGTTCATGATCCCCTCGGCCCCACGTAACCAAAGGGACGTACAAAAAATTAAACTAGGCTTAAAAGTGGCTTTGAAGGATCAGAAAGACAAAAAGAGGTGAGACAACGAAAATGTGGTCATTGTCAATAATTGGGTCACTATAGGACGGGTTGTCAATTATTGGTAAGTTCAATCTAGTTCATTTGTTTTACATATTTTCATATATTGTTTATTATTTTACTTTTCTTGAAATATCACTAATTAATTTCTTTTTGTTTTTCATTTATAGAAGAAGCAAATAAGGTAGTTTGTGATATAGTTTACAAAAGTATTTTGGAGCGCAAGAACAACGAGGTGTTAGATAATGTATGGACTAATTTGGGTGTTTATTGACTAATTTGGTTGTATGGACTTGTTGATGTATGTGAACTTTGATGATGTATGAACTTATTAATGTTATTCGGTTTTAAATTGTTGGTAAGTCGTGTGATTTTATTGTTGTAAGGACTTATTGACTAAGTGTAGTTGTATTGAAGTATTTGTGTGTGGTGGTTGCATGGGCTAATTGGTTGGCTTATATACCATTTTGATTATTTTGGTTGTATTGAAGTATTTGTATTGCGAGATAGTCTATACATACCCTAACTTGGTATTATTACAGGGATTTTAATAAATATGTTATCGTATTCAATTGTTGAACAGGCAGAGATCAGGGACTATAGTCCGTAGGTGCAAGCAAGACATAATATGGTTGCGGACTATGTGCGTATCACAGGACAAATCCCAGTGACATCAGCTGTACATGAAGAGGAAAATTGAAGTAAAATTGCAGATATGTATGATCAAAGTTCTTTCCCTTGATCGATGAACCGGATTTTTTATTGATACCCAAATAAAAATGTAAATACCAGAATATTAGGCACAAAAATATGGTAATATGGATACATGTACACAAGAGTCTAAATATTCTTCACTGTTAACCTTAGGACTTCACTTCACATTTCTTTTGTTACAAACTAGAGAACAACCTAAATATCGAAAGATAAAAAGAAGTCAACATTGCTTATCATTAACCTAACACCATTAAGCTAATTTCATCAATGAACTGGCAACCTCCAGCTCCAAGGAGGCAACTACTGCAAGGGCAGCGGGCGCACTAGTACAAAATAGGTCAGCCCAAACGGTTGGAACCGTTTGAGAAAACCCCCTCCCAAACGGTTACAATCGTTTGGACGAGGTAAAAAACCCGTTTGGGCTAAAGCCGTTGGGGCCGTTTGGGCAAAATCCCAAACGGTTGTAACCGTTTGGGAATTTTCCCAAACGGTTACAACCGTTTGGGGTATAAAAATTTGCCAAACGGATATAACTGTTTGGCCAAATGTTAGTCCAAACAGTTGAAACCGTTTGGGCGAAAAATTGCCCAAACGTTTTCAACCGTTTGGGCTAACATTTGACCAAACGGTTTTAACCGTTTGGGCTATTTATTTTAATATTTTTTAAATTTTGGTTTCTTTATTTATCTACCTGTTTATATACACATCTCACACAATAAGTACTCAACATCTAACAATGAAATCAAAATATTTCAAACTTTGCTAAATATCCAATGTTATATATTCATACACAATGTTTACTCAATATACAATATTAGAGACAAAACATATACATACACAATGATTACTCAATATCTCACAATAAAAAGCATCTAATATTATATATTTGTCTCTAATATCCAACATAATCAATCAAGTCAAGGAAAAGAAGAAATTCCTCAAAGAATGTCCTCTTGAAAGAAAGTGCATCATCCTCTAGGGTTGAATCGACCCCTGATGAGATTACCTTTTCGATGACCCGCTCCTACACGATACAAAATATTCAAATATAAGTCAACAAGGCAAGAGTAGATATATTTAAGAAAAAATTAAAAACATAATAGAAGTATGATTATAGCATAAAAGCAAAAAAATTCATCCAGAACATCTATTCAAGGGGATTTCGATCCATATTTAAATTATATACACTTTTTGCAAGTTCGAACACAAAAGAGTAGCTACACTTAGGCATGAACCTTCTTCGTCTTTCACATTTTAGCAAAATGACACATGAAAATTCACCAATAGACGGTATTTCAACGCAATAAAAAATACAAAGGTAGCTTACAAAGATCAGCCGAAGCAACTACGTATAAATATACGTTACTGCATCAACAAAACAGTAAATATACCCTCACCAACAAGACAGTAAATATAAGAGATGAAAACAGTTGTCGATATACCACATGTAGAATCCAAAAGTCAAAAAGCAGCTTTTGATGAATATCGGACCCGATAGGATTCTCAACACCTGAGAATACAAATAAGTTACAACGAACCACAAAAGATAGGATCTGTAATTCCAATATCAAGCTGCTCCAACCAACCTGATTTGGTGGTAATGATGAATAACATTTGTTAGCTGTGATCATGGAATTCAAATTCAAATACATTGTACAGTGCTTGTAATTAAAACTCACAAAAGCAAGGAGGGTTGTGGCCTGCTCTTAAATCAAAACTTGTTGAGCTCATAATAGTTTTACATTGTGGCAAATTAGTCTATCAAAATTGATGATTTTATGATCCGGAGGTATTTTCCCCCAAATTGATTATGATATGGTGATAGTTTTGTAGATAGTGAAATTTAGGGATGGTTTTGCAGATACAAGTGATTTAAGAGGTATGCATAAGAAACCTGCTTCAGATATGGAGAGTGTATTCGTCCTAAAGCCAAAGAGATGAAAACAAAGATGGAGTAGGCTGTGGCAATTTGTGGAGTGATGGATGAGGCAATTAAAATCAGAGGACTAATAAGAATAAAACATAAACTACTATTGCTAAAAAAATCATCAATCAATGAGCATGGATAGCTGTAAACTCATCTTTTACCTACATAAATTATGTTATAAACATCAAACTAGGTCAAGTGAAGTGCATGTAGGCTGCATAACGTTATGTAGAGAACTGACCCACATGTTTGTTCTACAGTAGACAACTACAAAGAAATGGTTTACAAATCCCAATATTGTACAGAAGACTTTTGCTCATGCTCATTCTCTACATTGCTACATGAGCTTAAACTGGGTCAATCATTCTCAACAAAAAAATTCTATTATTGTTAAGCATATTATGCACCACAAGAGAGAAGGATCTCAGGCTCACTTGTACTCGGCAGATATTAAGAGTTTAGTGTTGTCCGAAACTGTATTATTTTTTAAACTTTCTTGACTACAGTTCCGTCCTATAGGTGAAACATTTAGCATTCCACTACAAAACTCTATGAATGTTCCCCTGAGTAATCAAATAATAAAATAAACTATAGGTGACATCTGGATACAGGTTTAACTAGCGAAAGGTATGATTGCTAACCTTTTTAAGGGGATATCCAGATCAGCAATATAGTGAAGTGTGAAATTAATAAACTCCTGCATCAAATTTATATTATTTAGAAAAAAAGAACTTATACCAAATAATTCAAGAGGAGATTGATAAGAAATCATCAGACCTTGAGCTTTTCATCTCCAAGGAATGATTTCAAGCTCTGCAAAATGGAGGAAACAAAATCTTTTCCAGCAGGAAATACAAAATGGCATAAAAGCATAAGCGCATTCATCAGAGAAAATGAGGGAGTATTTTTAAAATCTTTACAAAAAAACTTCTGATTAGAGTAAATACACAAAAAAATAAAACGAGAATATCTGCGTATACATTCCTATATGCATTAAGTATCATACAACAAACTCAATATTTCTATGAACTGTAAAGACACTCATTCCTTGGTACGAGAGTATGGTTTCTAAAGTCATAATTTAACTAATAAGAGGATATCAAAATGATATAATAACATCTAGCATCAGGGGCTTCCATTGTTATCTCTAGTGTTTCTGCACATGGAATAAGATTAAAGGAACCAAACAGAGCATGTAAGTTCTCACCATCTAGCTAAGCTCTAAGTGCTATTCAGTATCAAAACTCAACCTCCACCAAGTTCTTGCAACCATTGCCAAACATTTTATGTGAACAAAAAAAAGGCTGCAATTCAAAATTACAGGCTAGAATAAGTTTTTCTCCTATGATGTCCAAGTTTGCTGGCCTATTAAGAAAAAACTGATAGATCTTTATTGATTATGAGTTCAATGGAAGATACTGAACTCTTGGTTCACTAATACTAGTAGGAGCTTTTAGTTTGTCTTAGTTGGATAATGTATGATTTAAAACTTATAAGCTATCTTTTACTCAACTTTTCTCCTCGGTTTCATGGAATTTGACAGAGTTAAATACAAGACAACTTGAACTAACATCCTAATAAGCAACCAAATGCTTTTATTAAGTTATTAAAAAATATGATTCCAAACCAAAGCAGGATACCTGTTTGCCAATGAGTTCGCCATTCTTGTAAGCAACAAGACCATTTTCGGAAAATACATAATTGTAGTCTGTGATCACTGCAAAGAAATCATTTTGAGACAATAATTTGGTTCATCTACCATTATAATTTTCGTAGCCATCCCGCATTTATAATTCAAACAAATCCCTGAACAACTGATGCATATTAGAGTTTAACAGGTTTGTTAACCATTAGAGAGTAGGTAGAGAGTAAGTATTTAACTAGATTGCAATATCACATTTGTTTAAAAAAAATATTTAGAAAAACTGTAAATTTCCTTTAGGAGACGTGGGAATAAAAAATGATAGTTCTCTAAGTTATAAAATTGCAAGATCGACACTAAACCCATTAATTTAAGAACTTCCTCTCACAACTTAAATAAACCCTAATTGCTAAATAATCGTGATTACTTTCTACTAATCCGCTAATGAATTGAATAAAAGAAAACAAAGAGATCTTACCTTAATGGGTTTTTCTACGAGGGTCTGGCTTTTGAGAAGCTAATTTGTACATCCAATAAATCTAATCAAAAGACCCAAAAATATCAAATATATCAATTAGCAGAGAAAAGATAAATCAGGGGGGGAGAGAAAGGGTTTTGAGTACCAAAGCTGAGAGATGAGCAGCCATGAGAACCATCACGAGAAGAGGAACAGACTCCAGAAACCAGGGTCGGCTAGTTTCCGCCATTAGAGATGCTACTGAGCTCTGAGGAGGAGGCGGTGGAGGAGGAGGCGGAGGAGCGACAGCCCCGGCGAAGACCAGCAGGACGAGGAGGACGAGGGGGTTAGGGGTTTGAGATGGTGCGGTCTTGAAATATTTGGGGATGAAATTTTCGCGGTGGGATGAAATTTTTGGGGGGAATGGAGAATAAAGGCTTTAATTTTTTTTACTTTTTTTTGCAAAAGCTAATAAAAACTCCCAAACGGTTTTAACCATTTGGACTGAGATATCCCAAATGGTTAAAACCGTTTGGCTCAGTCGTTTGGGGGGTTTTAACAGTCTAAACGGTTTTAACCGTTTGGGTTTTTTATCCCAAACGGTTAAAATCATTTGGGCTATTTTGACTTGTCTAAATGGTTATAATAACTGTTTGGACAAAGCTGTTTTATACTAGTGGCGCTTTGGCAGCTACTGCGACCGGATTGGCCGTGGAGGCGTGGTCGGGGTGCAAGCGCAGGAAGCGGGCGCGCATAGACGGCATGGTCGGGTTCGCGGTCAAGGAGGCGGCCCGGGCCGTGGAGATGGTGGTCGGGGTTGCTTGTTCGAGGCAATGTGGAGGAAGGAGATGTGGCGGAGCTACGACGCTATCGAGGTTAGAAGCCGAGGGAGGCGGGAACTACAGCGGCTGTTCCCACGGCTGTTGTAGCGGCGGAGGAGGATTCGCGACATGGTCGGGGTCGTGGCCAAGTCCTTGGGCGCGGAAGGAGTCGTCGTGACGACGGAGAAGAGGAGTCACGGCGTGGTCCGATTCATGGCCAAGTCCTTGGGCAGAGGAGGAGTCGCGGCACAAGCGGGTTGAACGACGAAGATTGAGAAGCGAGAGCTCTGAGAGAGGGGGAGAGAGAGAGAGAGAGAGATTGAAATGTTGAGAGGAGAGAGAGAGATCTGCAGAATTGAGATTAAGATTTGAATGGCTTGGCAGAGAGCAGGAAAGAGATTATGACAACTCACTTTTGTTTTTAAATATGGCTTTTTTTACCAAAATTACATCAATTCAATTCTTTATCCATCATTCATTAATTAGATGAAATGCCCACCAGATTAATCGTACTCACTAAAAGTTCTTTTGAGAAACTTGGTACCAAGTTTCTCCATCTCTCTGCTTCTCTCTCTCTCTCTCTATCTCTCTCTCTCTTCTCTCTATGTATATATATATATATATATATATATTTGGTGGTCTTCAGTTATATATATATTATATATATATATATATATATATATATATAGGGAGAGGTTCAAATAAAAACCTTACTATCCTAAAAACTAAAAACCAATCCTCTCCATTGGATCTAGATACATCCAATGGCTAAGATTAAAGCTACATAAGGGTAATTAGGTAAAATAAACAACCCACTAAAGAGAGGTAATTAATGCTTCTCTGTTGAGTTCTCCATTTCCCCATGCAACTCTCTCTCCAAAATCACAGCAACTCTCTCTCTGTCTTCAACATCTCCCTATCCACTCCTTATCCGGTTCCTCCGCCGCATGCCGCCGCCTCGCCTCCCGTCTTAACCCCAGGCACCGCCTCTTTCCTTCGCCGGGGGAGGAACTTCTCTCTCACCCGCGTCGCCGTCTCCACTTCCTCCAGAGAGGCGTCCAGAGGTGGGATTTCGGCGAAAATCTCGATTTGGGTGTTTGTAAATTCTCCTCAAAATTCAATTTTGATGAAAGATAACGTCTTTCGTGCATTTTTATTTGATGTGATTCTTTGAGGTGAAATTACTTGGAAGAGAAGTTTTTGTCACTTGGGTGGTTATTGATTCTTCTCAAGATTGGATTTTGATAACGTGAGAAGTAAAGAGAATGTTATTTATCTTTTAGCTCCGATTGAAAATTTATAAGTGCTATTTAGATAGCAATTGGTCATTCTGTTGTTTAATATTTCACCTTTTAACCTTAAAGATCGTAGCTTTTTGTTGTAAAAGGTGAAATATTTCATCTTTTCGTCTGAAAAGTTTTTTGTTTTTTGAAGAAACCAGTTGAAAAATGAAGACACGCATAAGTGAATCCAGATTCAGTATGTGAGTTGTTTGTTTTTTACCATAAAAATCATAATTTTTTGCTGTAAAAGGTGAAATCTTTTCATGGTTTAAAATTTTATAGCTTGTTTTTTACCATAAGTTTCTTATTCTTTTTGTTTAAAATTTTATAGCTTGTTTTTTACCATAAGTTTCTTATTCTTTAATATAATCCAGATTCAATGGAGTGAATCCAGATTCACTAGAGTGAATCCAGATTCACTCCAGCGAAAGGAATCCAGATTCACTAGAGTGAATCCAGATTCACTCCAGCGAAAGCTTGGATGGTTAGGATGGTTTTTAACGAATTGTTGAAGAAATAAATGCATGTGCAGTAATTTCGAAGAAATAAACGCATGAGTGAATCTAGATTCACTGCAGTGAATCCAGATTCAGTTATGTGAGGTATTTGTTTTTTACCATAAAATCGTAACTTTTTGCTGTAAAATATGAAATCTTATCATGGTTTAAAATTTTATAGCTTGTTTTTACCATAAGTTTCTTATTCTTTTTGTTTTTTATTTTTGCAGATTTGCTATTGTTTGATAACGAGTTTCAGTCCACTGAATCTGGATTCAATTCAGTGAATCTGGATTCAATTCAGTGAATCTGCAGATTACTGGAGTGAATCCAGATTCACTGGAGTGAATCCAGATTCACTCCAGCGAAAGCTTGGATGGTTAGGATGATTTTTAATGAATTGTTGCTGTATTCTTCATGTGAAGATGGAAGATCAAAGCTTGATAGAAGATGGAAGTGAGTTACAGAGAGCAGGAAGTGAGTTAGAGAGAGAAATGGGAAGTGAAAGGACGTAGCACGTTGATGGATGAGCAACTTGCTCTGTATCTCATTAAAGGACGTGTTGTATTTTTGGTTTAAATCATTATCTCCAGTTTCTAATGTTGCCAGCCACCATTAATGTAGTGAATTGTTCCAATTTTACCCTTTTCACATTAATGATGTGTATTAAATTTGTCTATATTTACAATTCTGCCATCGAAATGTAGGCCATTGGATTAGATAGATTGGAGGGTTAGGATTGGTTTTTAGTTCTCTAGGTTTTTATTAGAACCTCTCCCTATATATATATATATATTTACATATGTATATATATATATTATACATATGTATATATATAGTTAATACATATATATATATATATATAATTATATAATATATATATATTATATTATATATATCTATATAATATATATATATATATTTTTTTTCATATATATATATATATATATATATAATATATATATATATATATTATAATAGTATATGAATATATATTATATATATATATATATATATATATATATTATATATACATATGATATATATACATATGTATATATACATATATATTTGTTATATATACATATGATTATATACTATGTATATATATATATATACACATATTTATATATATATATACATATGTATATATATTATATATATATATATATATATATATTATATATATATATATATAATATATATATATATATAACTAATATATATATATATATATACTATATATATATATAATATATATATATATATATATATAATATACCTAATATATTAATATTATACATATATAATATACATAAATATATATTATATATATATTATATATATATATATATAATATATAAAATATATATATATATATATATATATATATATATATATATATATATATATATATATATAATATTATATATTTATATATATATATATATATATACACAGATGCATTTTCGATCGTGCGCATTGTGCGTACGCATTTGAGCTCGGGGCGGGGGGTGGGGGGGGCCGTTTTTTGAAAAAAAATCCAGCGATGCATACAGGGAAGGCTCATGGTTGATGCGGCTGCTGGCGTTTTTCTACAAAAAAGAACTTCAAGCATTAAAGGCACTGTGATAAAATTTGTGCTTCGTGATCATTTCTCTCTCTCCCTAGCCCCAGCCCCGAACCCTTATACTCGCCGTCTACCCCCAAATCTCTCTCCCTCACCGCGGATCACGTCGATCTCGCCGTCAGCCCCTAAAACCTAGCCCATTGAGTTCGTCGATCTCGCTGTCAGCCCCAAATCAGTTCAGCCGTCGGATCTGGCCCCAAATCAAGCACCGCCGACGCTGACTACGCAAAGCTCCCCCCAAATCCGTTGGATTCACGTCGATCTCGCCGTCAGCCCCTAAAACCTAGCCCATTGAGTTCGTCGATCTCGCTGTCAGCCCCAAATCAGTTCAGCCGTCGGATCTGGCCCCAAATCAAGCACCGCCGACGCTGACTACGCAAAGCTCCCCCCAAATCCGTTGGATCTGGCCCCAAATCAAGCACTGCCGACGCCGACCACGCACAGATCCCCTATTTCAGGTAACGATCAAGCCCCAAATTTCTTTTACCTATTATCTGTTATTTTTCTGTAGTTTATCTGTTATTTTTGCTGAACTGAGCTGAGCTGAGCTTGTCAAAAAAATCCTCTTGGCTGAACTGAGCTTGTCAAATTTTTTTTTGTTTTTGCTGGAATAATTGATGCTTAGAAAGTAGGAAACCAAATCTAAAATATGAATACAGTTGCAATTTCCTCTTGGCTGAACTGAGTTTGTCAAAAAAAAATTCTTTGTGTAGTTTATCTGTTATTTTTCATTAGTATTATCTGTTATTTTTGTTTTTGCTGAACTGAGTTGAGCTGAGCTTGT